GTTTTTGACGAACTCCCCTAGGTGAACTGCCAGTGGTCCACCAATCCGGTTATAGCCCCGGATGTCGGCTTTTCGTCCTCTCACTTTGATGAGGAAACACTTCCGCCGCTAGAAGACAGTAAGTAGGACTTCCTGAGCACAGCCTATTTAAGACACTTGGTCGTATGGGAGCATTTCGCGAGGTGCAAGGGAAGGGTGACTAGCCGCAATCCCACATACTCACCCCCGATCATACTGCGGCTTTTGGAGATGGAAATGCTGCAAAGAAACATTCTTATACCCTGTTTAAGCAATTCACTGCTCGGAAAGGTCAAGCATGCACACAACAGCTCAGTTTCAGTTTTGACAACCATTAACCGCGAAGTTTCGTACCAGTTTTGGTTGCTGTCGCATTGGGATGAAGGGGTAAAGGGAAGATTGGATTGCTCAAATCAGTGTCAGAAGGAAAATAGAGATCCATTAGGGCTAAGGTTGAAAAGATAGTGTACGAGCGCCAGTGTTTGGGACACTCAGCCATATCACCCAGCGTCTCTAACTATTGATTTCAATGATCCCGATGCCCCTTCCAAGAAGCCTAAAGTGGCTTATGTGAGCAAGTTTCTTGGACAAGGTTCAACAGAACACATTGAGAACACACCACCACACGGCAAACAGGCCCGGTTTTAGTTATTCGTTATCATGCCAATACATAACAGCAAATCGGGTTACCAATACCAGAGTATCGAAAACGACAATTAGGTAATCTGTTCATTCATTTGAATGAAAGAACACATGTAGTAGAATGAGGCATACAAACACACCTTCCGTTTCCGACGCCGCCGTGTTCGGGCTGATCAAATATCGGAAGAAACACAATTGCCGATACAATCGACTTTCCGGATAACGTGCTTTGAGTAACGCTTGTCCACCACAGGCAGGACAGAGAGGACGACCACCACGAGCCCACAATCCGTCCGAATCACCACCGCCCGAGTGAATCGACCCCGGTGGACAAGGAATGGAGCGCGTGATTAGACCACAGGCTGGATCTTCACAACTCAACCAGCCAAGTTCGTAACGCACAATCAGCTGACGTGTTTGCATCATCAAACGGTTGACAATCATGCGCACAGCATCGGCCGAATTGAGCAGATTAAATGAACAGTTTGGACACTAAAAGCAGGAGTGAATAGGCGGGCACAGAGAGCAAGAGAGAAGACTACGTTGCATTGGTAATGCGAAATTTAATATTCAGCAATAACGGTTATAAGAATAAGGCTGTGACACACGTAGTTCCTCTCCTAACTGTTTGCTTACATTGCACATTTTACCTATACGCATTTGTCTGTTCTAGCTTCTATGGTCGCTTGTAAAAGGAATTAAGCCTCTATTGCAGATGTCTGATATTCTCGTTTTCGAGTGATGAGTGTGACCAACATATAGGGTACAACAGAGGTTGATTAAAAGGGGTTTTATGTATGATGCTTCGTTGTCCAACTCTCCATAACACACTGGCAGTTAAGAGGAGAGATCAATTTTGAGTAACACAGAGAATGAATAGGTTGGAACGAACTGTGGCAACGGATATCAGGGTTAGGTCAATAGCCATGGTATCGGGAAAACCTACCATCCATGCNGCCCCCGCCACAAGCACGGGGACAATCCACCAGTAACGGATCTGCATCTGACCAAGCGCCCGCGCCCGAAAATCCAGAAGATCCGGAGCCCGAAGCGGGATCGCCATTCTGGAAGGTGGAGGAGTGGGGGAGCAAGGTGGGATAAAAAGTTGGGAATAAAAAATATCGGAGCGAAGTGTGACAGGAATCGGTTTCGTATGTGCAAAATAATTTTACCAATATTCTAATCCTTGCAAATAAAAATGTATGAATAAAAACTGATGAGATTATTTGAAGTATGAGTTACAGGTATTCTACACTAGTAAAGGAAAGAGGTGAATACAATCCCAGTTGGGCACAGACGAGATTCAAGTGGGTCGATTCAAAGGCACACTCCTCAGTAAATAGAGTCTCAAAGTAATCATGTTTGATAGCGCTTCACATTCACATTGTCGGCTGGATGTTCTGTCTGACAGTGCACTCACAATTGAATTGCGAAAACGAAATATCGTATCACTCAGACTACCTTGTGGACTATCGAAGGTTCGGAACGAGGTCCTTTAAATCAACCTTCTGCTTTGGTTTCTGTGACCGAGTATTGCAACGGCCCACAACACCAACAGAATGGAAACATTCACCCGGAGGCATTTGCAACTATTTCCTTTTTCTCCACACAGCATTTTCATCTTGCCTATTTTAGACCAGTGACTAAACAATCCGTGATAATGAAGATAATAATAACAATCATAATAATGACATACTTTTCGAGCTTATACAGTAAAATTCACTGAATGACAGCAGCACACATCTGAACGTTGCATCGGCTACACGTTCAATGTGCACCTCCATGCGTTAATTTTGTCCGCATTTAGACAACCTATCCGACTAGAGATGGAGGAGAAACTAACAAAAGCTAATCCTTGAATATGAGGAAAAGTAAACACATGGGCAGAGACGTAGTGGTACGATCCTCAAGGTTAAAGACACGAATTCGGATCAACTAGTCTCTGTATTTATTGATTAAATCGTTTAACTGGATCTTGACCAAGAGATTAAGCGTAACCCATGCAACACCATGTCACAACCAGCCGGGGATAAGACATCTACAGACTGATTGCCCAGATCGGAAAAAAAATCGAGAAAAATGAAACGGTGGAGTCTATCGGTTAGGGTTACTTTACCTTCATGACGAATCGATGAGAGAGGGGATCTGCAACATATCACTTACCTCATCTGCATCATCGTCCAAACCGCCGGCAACCTGTCGTCGATAGCCAGTTGGATCCAAACCCAGACAATCTGCAATACGCGCTGGGGAAGTGCCCTCGATCGGAGCAACTAGCCGACTGACAACCGGGTGAATTTGATGTGCCAGATAGTAATTGACATCGATTTTCAAATTTTCTGATCACGAAAATATCAGACCAAAAGTCAAACAGAATAAGAAACTAAGATGAAACAGTGATATATGGTAGGCATCGTAGTGCAAGTCCTTGAGAACGTTATTTACATACGGTAATAGTCAGATGGTACGCCCATTGGTGGAATTCTAGCCAAGGTTTCTAGGGGAATATCAATCCATTGTCGCATCAAGTGTTTATATTCACTAATGGCAAGTTAAATTACTCGGATTTTAGTTTTGTTTTGTATCTGCATGGCACCAACGGTCATGTTAAGGAAAATTCATAATTACAATTTCGGCGTAATTGGAAAAAATCATCATGAAGACATCTCCAATGAGCTACGTTGAGTCATATCATGTTACGCAAATTCGATCGATCGGAGGATTGGAGGTATACAGTGAGCAGCAGAAAAATTGACTAAGCAGCCTAGGATCGGTTGTAAGTAGATTTTGGTCAATTATACAGCCGTGAGGTTGGTGGTTATTTCGGGTTTTTCAAGTTCATTTGTTGCCTACACAAACCGATATGAACCCCACGATAAAAGTATCGTGAAGATCACGCATTAAACTCAGTTTAAAAATAGGTACACCACACCATTTTAAGATTGATTTGAGAAGCTATCACTTTGATATACGGAATTGTCAGTTTGAATTGATAAAAAAAACGGTGGTTGGATCCGCTTCCGTTCAGTGCATCTCATTGGTCNTTTTTTCTCCCCCCCCCCCCCCAATTGACAACCTGTCTTCCCACGCTCTCTCTGTGCCCTGAAATGACGCAGACCTCAGTTTTGCAACTTGTAGGCATCCCGGGTTTGTACTTCGGCATGAACACCGGCAACCGAGGTGAGTTAGCGGTCGACAGACTGGCATTAGTTACGGTCATGTGACCGCCTGTTGACCATATGTTCACATCACTCTCAATGGCCTTGAAGGAACAAAGATATGCGAGTGGGTCACTACGAGGATTGTCAGCTGTAGCGCGTAGGAAGAGGTTCACGGACTGGTAACGAGAATCCCAGAGTGGACGTTTTTCGTGAGATCAACGTCAATGTACATACATAAGACAGCCAGATCTTCCAACAGGTCCCAATCACAGTGTATCAAAATATTTGAGGCGGAAACAGCAAAAACCTCTAATAGAAAGATAAGAACAGATTATTGCGTATAATCTTAAACTCCGTGAGTCATGCATAGGTGATGAGTTAAACTTTTCGGTGCAAACGATACAACGAACACTTAAAACGGTCTTTCGGATGAAAAACACGAAAATTATAAGGCGCACAGCGCCAACAAATTTACGAACAGAGAAACTTTTATTGTGAACTGAAACTCGTGTAAAAATTGGGAAACTGAATGGAATTTCGTTTACTATAGCGACGAAACGAAATTTAATTTCGATGAAGCCAACGAGTGAAACTACTACAGACATGGCTTGTGTAAAGGAGAGCGGTATTTCAGTAGGTGAATTACCGATCGAATCTCCGTGATGGTACACTGTAAACAACATTGAACAGGAAACCTTTTCTTGTGTGATAAGCCTTTCGACCATATCCCAGACGACTCAACCCATCTACTACTCACATTAATTCCATCCAGTCTACGTTCACCTGATCCATCAGCTGTACAAAGTTGCTTTGATCCAAGCGAATCGTGGGTCGTTTATAAATCCTGTGATAACCGATTGTCGAAATGGTCTCAGCTGTACACGTGCGTGTGTTCTACCCTACTGGTTTGCGTGACAGCTCACCAAACCTGGGTGGGTGACTGATGAACTTAGAGCCCTTTTAACTATTACAGTTTCGTACCAACAATAGTATGTTCAAGTATTCCTCTCACTCATTTTCAAATAATTGTGATAGTTCATGAACACTATGATCAATATGCGGATGAATTCATCCCTAGGGAGTAATAAAACAAGCTTTGTAATTTGAAAAAGATAAACTGAATGAAAACGTGTGACTGATAGCCATTGATAAAAGCTGCATTCTACAGAGGTGGAAGTGATCGCTTACCTGGACTGTTTGTCAGCTCCGTAGGGCTATACCCACGTTGTGTGGCCACGAGACCAGAGCCGTCGGAGCAAATGACGTATTCCACCGTGTCCCCAGCACGGAGGCGGCGGTTGGAGCTAGCTACATTTGTTTTTCCAGACTCTGTTTGACTAGCACCGTTGAGTCGGAGAGCCACTTGAACGTGTGGTAAACTCTTGCTATCCGCATATTCCTCCGGAGCTTTGGTTAACATCTGATCACAAATAGGAATGTGGATCCATGGAAACGGTTTGGAGACTACGTGTGTGCAAAAACCACGGTTATTTGTATCAACCACATTCCCGATAACCCCCAAACCAAATAGGAAGATGTGTATGAACTAAATACATATGTTCCCGGTTGTAGTACTAATCACCGGCTCGACTGGCCATCGAGGTGCATTGGGCATCTTGCATATTCGACCCCGTCAAAAGAGCCTGGTCAAGTGGTTAGGTCACCAACTAGTGACCTGGGTGTCCCGGGTTCAAACCGCTCCATCGCCGCCCGTCTTACCTATATCTATATTTTCCTCAGGCAGCCTTTGTATGGCAGTATCCTCCTTCCTGAAAGTTGACTACACATATATATATATATATATATATATATATATAATGTGTGTATATATCACTGCATTTATGATCTAACGGACTACGTAGCATATGAGCGATTGGCAAACCGTCCTAAAATGTTGGCAATTCAGTATTCAAAATTGAATGTCTAGTTGAGAACTGACGGTTTCATGCGAAGAGATATATTGGCCTTCTCTGTTTAGATATTTCGGCCGGAAAGTCTTCAGTCCTGTGCCCCGGCTTCGGCATTTAGTAACTCATTTAGAAATCAGTGTTATGGGAGGAAGAGTAACCAAAAGTAAAAGGCATAACAAAAATTTAAGAAAAGTAAATGAGAACGTAACGGCCAATGTTCAGATTACTCTACCATATTACTTGGTCTGCAGTGCTCGATCGGTTTAGTGTCTGAGATCCTGAATCGAAAACAAGCTAATTACGACCAGTATGCTTCCATTCATTTATTTTTCTTTCTCATTTCTACTTCCTTTCATTGAATATGTAATGATACTACCTTCAGGAAGGGGAAGCGGCCAATCAAAGGGCCGCGATAAAACACACAAATGGGAAAATCAGGCGGTGGTGGCGGGATTTGAACACTCGTCCTCCGGGGTGATAATTTGGTGAGGTTGCCACCAGGTCACCACCACCACATAACAACCTACGGTGTGACCGCCACTATGGTACTCTGCACTTTGGGAAGTAAGATATTTCCGATAACCACATACAAACCATTATTGGAACCTGTGAAATGCTTCGCTTTAAATTTATCGGACTACCTGTTCGCACGCACGGTTTTCCCACCACTGACCACCAGGGTGAGTCGATTTTGGTTCCTCTGGATACTTTCAATCCGTTCGATCGAGTTCGGTGAAACCTCCAGATTTGAACTTTCCCTGTGCTTCTATATCACTTCAATACGATGTCTCTTCACTCAATTTCGGTTCGAAGGTAGTCCCAGTTAACTCCGGCGTTCCATAAGGCTCCGTGCTATCTCCTACCTTTATTTTCGTCTACGGACATCTATCCAAACTCTGAATCCTATCCATTTTTTTGCTGATGATACCACCCTACATTGTGCCCGTTCGTACAATACTTGTCATGCGCGCTCTACTCCCATCACTTAGGATCAAGGATATGTTTATGATTCACTTAATACAGACCCCAATGCCATCTCTGCTTGAGGCACCAGTCACTTTCAATGCTTCCCGAATACCCCACATAGGTGTATCCCACAAAATCAATTCAAATGCTCCCAATTCGGCCGTTACCCACTTAACCTACAATTTCCCATGTCAATATCTCGAGAAATTTATATCCTTTTCATCGCTTGCGTCCAGGAAAAATTCCTAACTTTTTCAGGTGAAACGGCTTCTCATCGTCTTTGAAATTCTGATATTTTACAAGGCTAGGGTTATTCCAGTTAAGGCATATTGTAGCCATATCTGGACGGGGCCTCAACGTCCTCTTTGGCACACCTAGACTGCGTTCAACGTTAACTCATTCGACGAGAGATCGACCCGTCTCCAGCATCCACTCTTCAAACACTTGTATATTACCGTGCGGTCACTCAACTATCCCGTTTCTACTATTATTACTGCAGAGTTCGCTCCGCCGAGTTTCCTAGTTTGTTACCTTCTCCACTTTCAGTTCCTCCGGCTATAAGCCTTAACTTATAACTACCAGGTGACTCTAAAAGCCGGTTGAACAATGGCGTTTAAATAATCTGCATCAAGAACCGCGGAATGTGGGAACACGCTCCACGTTGTTTTCCTGCTTTTCTTATAACCTCTACATTTTCAAGCGGGGAAGTAAAAATCTATGTTCATCTCAACTGTACAAGAACTCTTAGGATTATGGGCAGTAACCAAGTATATTCAGCCTTCAGCCGAGTAGAATACCACAGCAGGAAAATTTCAGTTCACTTCTTACAAACACTAACCATGCACTTTCGTGCGCCGGTTTAGGTTGCCCATTTGGATAAAAACAGCAGAATGATGATTAGAAGGTTGAGAGCAGATTCAAGCGGAAGACAGCGCATTCACATAGACTGAGGTTACAAGAATAACGAGCAGATGCTTGAGCGACTGTTTGCGACACCCATCCATATCGCTCAGTGTCCCTAGCCATCGGTGACCATAATCTCGGGGTCCTCAGCCAGGGAGCCTAATAGGACCTTTTCAGTTTCAGCTTCACTTTGAACAACCACTAACCATGCACTTTCGTACGCCGGTTTTGGTTGCTGTCTTTTGGCTGCCCACTGGGACCTATATAACCCTGTCTCCTGGTCAGGGTTTTTATACCCTCATGTCAAGTCTTAGCTTGACCACCCTTGGCTTTATTCAACCCACTACCTGCCTCGGTAAATATCGCGCGCCGTGGCAACCTATCTGATGACATGTGAAGCACATGTTCCAACCAGCGTAACCAGCGGGAAAATAGAGCCCATGGTACAAAACAGAAGCAGAGGCTGTCTTAATAATAGCGGAAATGGTTCATGATTTGCTAATGGACGGAATAGTATGAGATAACTCAAAACAACATAGATAAATTTTCATGGAAGACTCACAACTGGAGCCTTCAGCGAGCTAACAACTGGCTCACAATGCAATGTGACGGTGTCTGTATAAACTGCTATGCGTTTGGATTCTGTTTGCAGTCAGTCGGACCACAAACACAATATGCCGAATTGAGTTGGTGATCATGGGGATGAGAGTACCGCGGAGCTATCTTAGAAACCTTGCTTTAGTACGTTGTGAAACCCTGTTTCCTCTTCATTCACCTTTCATAGATGAGCTACCTAACAGTGATTCACTATGTTACTGTTGTGTCTTGCTGAAATATCACTGAACCTGGTCCCGGATATTGGCTTTTCATCTTTCAACTTCAGCAAAAAAACACCCTTGTTACGAGAAACCATTGTGAGACTTCTCTAGCAGATGCGTGAAGAGGTGTGCTCTGTGAAGACTTCGGGTGAGAATGAGGTTTTGCCCATCCTCAAACAGACCAGCTGAACAGGATCCCAACTTATACGTCTTGACAAACTTTGTCTATATTGCACTTGTGATGACTTTAAAAGATGGAGACGATGTTACGCGGTCGACCAATTCGCATTCGCCGCGTGAGCATTCAGATCACACCGGTAAACACGAAACAATAACAACGAAATAACATCACGTTTGATTCTACCTTGAGCACAGAAAAATACGCAACACTCACTTTGGTGATGACGAAATCGGATATGGGCAATTGCCCAGACCGTACACGTTCCGCAGTCTCGGTGAGGTCCGCATGAATCCGATCGAGCACGACATCTTTTGGATCCCCAGAGAGTAAGGCAGCTACGCAACGTTTCCCGACTGCAACAGCTAATGCAGACCAATCTCGACGTACTATATCTAACCCTTTCATCTCTTGTTTTGTGGCTGGTGCAGGTGGCAAAGCAGCCGGAACTGTGCTTGATTGGGCTAGAGCGACACGATAGACTTGAGCCCACTGAATGGGATTAACAATCGCGAGTGCGGCATACTTCTTCTTCGCTAGTAACAACATGGCAGCATAGACTCCGTCGGTATCCAATTCAAGCAGACGATAGTGCTTATTCACTTCCTGCCTGACTTTTTCCCCAATGCTCAGTGCCATCAACAGATCTGTAGTATTTGTGTTCACCATAATTGAATCCGTATCACCATAGATGACCTGATGCGAGAAAAGGAAAATAAGGTGAAGAAAGAAATGAGAGAGCGCGCACGTAAACTGTCAATGGAATCAAATGAAGGGTGACAACAAAAACAACAACAACGCACCCAGACACAAAATTGGATCAAACACAGGAAAAGATTCATATCATCATCCGTGTCGTCCGCTGCTAAAATTATCACCCAACGTTCATCTTAGAGGATATCCGTTTAAACTAGTGGTTTCAAAATGCCTATTGGAATGCCGATGTCAGTCACTCGTAGTCAGAATGTGTTCGATCTGGAACTCTCTCTTAATCCCAGTCGTCTGTGCGCCAGGCATTGAATCTTTCAAACTGAGACTCAATGAAGCACACCTTACATTCCAACATCCATCAAACCAAAAAACCAGTGAACAAGCCAAACAAGAGAACAAAACAGAAACTCCATGAAATTCAACACCGTGGTGACACATTGGTGAAGACAATATAAAACTGATCTCGCCTGATGGCTACTCACATACCTCAAGATTCATGTTCTCCACCAAATCCCGCGTATTCATCAGTACCGCACGGCCTAATCCGGTTACCAGTGCAGCCAGACCACGGGCACAGAATCGGGAAGCATTAAATCCAAGGCAACCGTACACACTGTTCGCAGTTAGCTTCAATGCGGCCTGTCGTGTGTTCCACTGGGCCAGCTGCGCTGGATCAGATGGCGCACCGCCTGGAGCGGCCGCAGCAGCAATCAGCTTTTTTACTTCCCGACGAGACTCGACCAGACGACGAATTTCAGCTGGTAGCAGACCCGGAATTTGTGCGGTCGGAAGTCGCAGTTGAGATTCAGGAGAATGGCCAGTGCTCCCGGCAGCTGAGTTATTTCCCTGAACAGCAGCCAAGAGCGCAGCAACCATAGCATCTAAGTCCGGAGGCTGATCATCAAAGAGACAAACAGGGGATGGGTGTGCGCGTGTTCAGAACAATATGATTCCATAGAAATCCTTGTTAAAGAACCGCAAACATTCATAAACTATTCAATAGGAGGGTAAAGATATAACAAACACGATGTTGTAAAGCAGTAGCGAAGGATACAATTCGACATGATGAATTTGGTCGTAGAGCTAAGGAAAATTGAAATTAAAAGCTGACAAGCACTTTGCGGTTGTTTCAAACTTCCAAGGTTTGATCAGCAATGCAATCCCATCAGCCAACTGGAAGTTGAATCTAGGATCTCAACTGTAGGATGTATCGGTTGACGACCCAGTGGAAACATAACGAACCTAACCAACCTTTACAAAGGAGTATAAAATTAACCTCCACAAAGTAGAAGCTGAACGGTGCATAGTAGGTAGTAGTTTACGGTTCTTGTATGTAGTTCCGTGCACGATGAAACTCATCGAATACATACAATGCATTGTTACGTTATTACTAGATGCAACCAGATTATTAGGATCAGTTCCCATTCGAAAAATTCCCGCGACCGTAGGGGATGTACCTCAGTGGTAGAGCGTTCGCTTTGCATATGAAAGGCCCCGGGTTCGATCCCCGGCATCTCCATGGTTTTTGGCCCTTCCGGTCAAAATGCTTTCAAGAATCACGGATTTTCACCAGCTCCAAACTGCAAAACGCGATAATGATACTTTACCTTATACAATGTATAAAAAGAAAGGCTTACGCAGATGAGCCGGTTTAGGAACTAACTTGGTAGTTTGGTAGAGATGCACACAAACGGGGAAGAATGCATTAATATTAACGAACAACCACATTCAAAGCGGTATCATAGAACTAATGCGATACACTGTCCGATTCAGAACTAATTAGGTGTGAGGTGGGTTTACATCGTTTGTTAAACAATGAACTGGCACGTAAATCCAGAGACACGGAGTGGTTAGATGATGTCCACGGTCTAACCGAACACGTACAAAGGAATTCTCAAGCGATGGAAATGTTTGTGATAACCGACAAAGAGCAGTGGACAGCTGCTTCGTCCTATTTGGGACTCGACACTAGTGTGTACTTTTTGTGTCCCTGTCAGGACTCGAACCGCGAACGTTCGGGTTGAGAATTAACAATCTCCCAAGGACTGAAACCCACACCCAAAAACATCAAGAGTGCCTGATGCCTATTAACAATCGAATAGATTAATCCAAACTTGCTACTCTAAAAAAACAACGGAATTCTGTTCACCATCAGGGATAGATTCACACTTAGCGAGTGATAAATGACTCAGTGGTAAATCTCCACTAAAACATTGCTGCCTTCCAGTTTGCATTTGATTTTATTAAGTCTAATGGTACGCCCACGCAAAAAAGACCAGTTGATGAAACGAACGTCCCTAGCGTAATTAACTCCCATGAAAATTATTCAAGTCGAATTTTCAATTTCAACTAACCAGCAGTATCATATGAAGTAATATTACTGAATAGTATCATCAGGATAGGTTCTGGAGCTTTGCTTCTTCCATGTGAGACAGCTGATTTTGTTTCCTTTGCTCATGAATTTCTGCTTGACTAAGTCCATTCCCTACATGGTTACCATTCCTGTACCCCCTCCCCGTTGTTTGTAAAACAAAAACTCTATTTTTCCTTACTTAGTATAAATACTTCCAAACAGTGATAAGGAACAGAGAGAATTCCAACAAATCTTGGTATCGGAAACGTTAATTTACTTTTAACCTTTGTTGGTCATGCTATTCCTATCGTGGTTGCGTACACAAATCATCAAATTACGGCGGGAGAGACCGGAGAGAGAAACTTTGTATCCACTCAAGCTGATGTACAACTTGCTAAAACGTGAGTATAAACACAAGATAAAAACTGATCCGCAGAAAAAAGCAATGATGATCGGCGTCTGGTACGTGCACGGGCCTCAGAACTAATTTGTCTTCTGCGGCAGGACGGTAGAGATTCAAAACTGAAATGAGGATGCACAAAACGCAACTTTTCCGATGAACTTGCTAAGGAACTGTACTTGCCTATTCCGAAAAACAACAGGAAAACATCCGTAATTTTACTTTAATTATCCTCTCACGTAACTCGTATTAGGCGACCCTATTAGGTGAACGAGCCTGAAACTTTGGACGGGTAGGATGATTGTACCAGGAAGGTGTATTTATCGTACCCAAGACTACTAAACTACTGAATTATCGAAGATCTCCACAAAATGATGAGAAAATCAGCAGCCATAGAGCTACCGCCTTGTCCAAACGACCGAGTTCAACTAACATGTTTCTGCGTTTGACATGAATCATATAAATTTGCGTTTACAGCTGTATGAGAGCACGCGAGCAATTAATGGCTCATATCAATTCTTCTCAAATATGTCTCTTTGTGTTGATCGATTAATTATATTTATGTGATTCTCGAGAAATCAGGTTCAGTTTTTACAACCATTAACGATGCACTCGAGCACGCGGAAGCACAAGGAAAATGACCGAGTAAATATCAAATTTTGGCTACTGATGAGTAGTCTAAAATCGATGTTGAAAATGTTTGTTCTATGCGGACACTACCTGCATTCGTACTAATGGTGAGAGGTAGCAAACTAAGTAACCACAATCACGAGTGAAACTTTCATTATAGACACCAACAAAAGGAAATAACCGCCATTGTCTTCTGTCGTAAGTCTGCTCCTGCGAAATTCGAAAAAGGGAACAAATGACGGATACCATTAAGAAGTAAGGTCTGCAATTTACCTAAACAAAAGAATACAAATTCGAAGCGATGAAGATGGCAGTATTTTATACATACACTGCTCGAGGCAGCGTTCTATTCAAAGTAATGAGTGACATGTATCTCCAGATCCATTTTGAGCACTCTATAGACATATGAAAAGAATTTCAAAGAAGCGACTATACTGCACCTATACCAATTTTGGAATGTTGTCAACTACGTTTATATCACTACAGATCAGAAACAAGTTATTCGTATGGTAGAAGCTGTGATTAGGGATACGAATACGGCTTTTTTTTACCTTCAAAGAGCAAGCGGGTATTCATCGCATCTGATGACTCTATTCCGAATGAAAAGTTTAAAACTATTGTGTTCTGAAAAACCGAATTCAGAGGCGGAACTAAGTGCTGCCTAGCGCGTCTCTAAATTGCAAACAGGGGAAGGACCACCGAATTGGTTTCTAACCGTTCATAAGACCAGTTCATGCTCAATGAATGAGCAGCCCCAGTGTCCGAGGACATCGTGATTTTTGCCTCATAAGCAGTCTTCTTATAAAATGTCATCAGAATCAGACGATGTCAAGTACAACTAACGATGCCATCTCTTCGTGTCCCGTTACATCTAATTGACCAGGCTCACCAAAGAATTAACCAAACTGTTGCCCCATGTTTGGAACAAATTTGTTGCCCTACAGGTTGCACTTGAATTTGCAAAGGTTTCGGGTGCAACCTGAAAGAAAAAGAGCAAATGAGGGTTGGGAGTGAGGATGGGAGACGCCCGTTATCCCATTCTGGATAACCACTATGTGATCCTCGGAACCGATCTACCTGAGGTAGTAGTATCATTCCGTTACGACGTTCCATTAGAACTTTCTTATTCAGACTGTACGAGAATGAGGACCAAAACGCTCGTTTTCTGCAACTATGATTACTCCCTCCGTCCCCCGCCGCCGGCCGAATGCAACGAAAGAGGATCAGGGATCTAATTCAAGATCCAGTAAAACAATAAATGAATAGAATAAACGTTCCCAACTGGCCAGTAGAGTAAAACCATGGATGATTGTAATCAGTTATGACGGATCAACTTGGGTTAAAGCNTTAAAGCGAATGGTCATTGAAGTTGAGATTGTCTCGGTTCTTCAAGTTGATCGTTGATCGAAAATTAAGGAAGACAAAATAACTAAAAGCAAAATTGACTAATATGATTGCAATTTTGTTTTACCTGTTAAATGTTTCCTAAATCAGAGTCTCACGAATCAGGGTCACCGGTTTCCATAAGTTTTAATCAATGCCAAACACACGAAGATAGGTGAATAGAAAAAAAGCAATAACCTCCCCCCCCTCCCTGAAAGAAGGTCAAGTTTAAAGCTATGCGGTTGGTTTTTCGGTTGCTAAAACCTAGACAATCACTCGATCGATGAAAAAATTATGGTAGCAGCGAAAAACAACCAGGTCATTGATAATAGTCTGCTTCACATCGTGGAGTGCCATTGCGTTTGTAGATTAGGTCAAACAACTGTTTGCATCAAACCGGGGGGGGGGGGGG